GCAGTTTTGAGTCTTGAGAGTCCCTATATCAGCCAGTGTACAACTTCGTACACTGGCTGGCATACACTGTGTGCGCTACTTGAAACAGCAATTGAAATGAAATGCTGCACCGCATTGCATTCAGGGGATGCGCTCAATGGTACGCAGGTAACATGAAACATCTCTTTTTGAGCGTACTTGATTCGTATTTGTGCTCCTCCGTGGACTGATGTTATCAGCGACAATGAAATGCCACGGTGCGAAACAAACCCTTGAAGGCCTATCCGGAACTAGTTAACCTATTAGTTGTGTCACAAATGGGAGTTTTTACAATAGCTGAAATAGGAACCCATACATGGTTGAGAACAATAAATTATGCCCACTTCAACGCCAGCAACACCATTGTCGCATGACCTTCAGCTTTTGTTGCTGGAGAATTTAATGATTTCTGCATAGAAGAGACGTCTCAATAGCTGCTGTTTCAATTCTAATGCAGCTTGTTCAGTCGCATAACAATTGGCAGGGAAGAGAGCGCCACAGGCTCAATTGCGTGCCGCTTCTGGGGATTTTGGGCACAGTAAGCAAGTCCGCGCGTATTTCACTAAGTGCCTCTTTCTTCTGCTGGTCGCCCCAGCGCTGCTATCCAATCCAACTGAAGTGCAGCATTCTTATATAGCATAAACTGTACATCTAACTACTTCGTGGCACATATTTGCAGATTTACTGAAATGGTGCACAGGATTGCTCTGGACCCGCAAAGGGTTTAGAACTTCAGTCTTAAAGGTGCAAATATCAAATGAGTTTCGGAACTGCGAACAAATGCAAGAACATGAAGCTCACATCCTGTGGTCTTTGTGGCCTCTCTCTCCGCGCCGGGGAAGCCTCGACTGCCACATCCCTGCTGGAGCCTTTTTTCTTTCTCTTTCTCAGGAACCGTCCTTTGAACATCTCCCCGGGTTCGGAGCCTCAAACAACGGGGGGAATGCATTTCGGCCGCGGCAAGGAAGCCATCGCGTTCGCCGCCCTCTCAAGCGCGAGGAGCTCCGAGTTGGAGCCCCTAGAATTGATGCGCCTCGTAGTTATGTCTCCATCAGCCAGCCGCCTGGGGCACAGCTTGACCTGGTCAACCGCCAGGCCGCTTCCAAGATGAATGCCCTTGATGCGCCCGCTCAATGGAGCAATGTTGTGGGGGCAGGGATGGAGGCCCCTGGCTTACTGGGGCCGAATTGAGTCATACTTCAGTTCCCGCCAGCCAACTGACAAAGACACTTCTTTTGATGTATTGCCATCAAAAAGCGCTTCCTGGCATTAGGAATTCATAGATTCCTATACTTTGTTTATATCATGTATTGGGAAGTAATGAACTAATCATAGATACTGCTTTGCTTGTGTAAAAAAGAAATCTGACAGCTACATCATTTCCTAATAGTGTGAAAGCAATGATGATGATGATACGACGCGAGGAAAGGCTACAATGTTTTCAATAATTCGACCAAGGGGATGTGCTTGCGACATACCGCTTTTCTATAGCATCCGCTAAGTCTATTTTGTCATGTTCTCGATCTTAATGACATCGATGCTCAATACCTCTCACTATGGACCTCATTCTTTTCTGCATGGTGGTTCCAATGTATTAATTGAAACCACCACGAAGGCGCGTAAATTCAACGTGCGCACCTTTTATTCATCCTCATTCTTGCCGATCCATTGGTGATGCAGCATTCTGAAACCGAAAGGTGTCCAAACTTTCAGTTTTCCTTCACCCGGGCAGCTCCACTTGATTGCGCCATGAGCCGGTGCCGTTTCCATTAGATTAAATTCTGGCAGACCTTCACTGGAATTTCAACATGAGGATAGCGATTGATGGGAAGCGCTCACGTACAATGTAGTGCACTCACATCCCTTTGAGCCCATGGCAAAGTCGGCAGATTTCAATGCTCGTATCGAGGCTCATTCTGCGCTTTCTCACTAATTCAGCAATTAGAGCCGGATTGCCAGTATCCGGCAATAATTGCCTGATCCTGAGAATCCGGCAATTGTTGTGAAGTGCAAAATGGTCGCCGAGACGACAAATACAATAATTTTGAAGTCAGAATCATTTTTGGCAATTCTGATTCTGATTCTCTGAATTCAGCCTCGAGAGGTAGGATTGATAGGGCGGTACACTTATTCAGTTGCGCCAGGTATTGGATGCTGTGGTGCTTAAGGCTCGGTTTCTAGCTTATGTTCAACGATGATGTTGGGGCGTGAACGAGCCCCGAGATATCCCTGATGCGCGTCCTGAAAGCGAAATTTTTCCCCCTGATCCTCCCATATTACGCTGCACAGCCAGGAAGCCTTTGACAGTCGAGTTCAGACGCACTTTCGAAAACAGAGAGCTGGCGGCACACGCCCACAACGCTCAAAGCGGTCGATAACAAAAACGATCTTGCATGAGACTCAGCACAGTCACAGTCTTCCACGCGATTTGGACTGGCCAATACACGCATGGTGCAATTTTGAGGCTATTTTTTTCTGGTGAGAGGAGCAGCTTTGCATTCTATCAACACCGGAGGAGCGCAAACTATCTGCCTCCCAATGCCACAAACTGTGGGTGACGGCAGAATGAAGCGCAGCCACATTTCGGCGCTGGCTGGGCTGCAGCTCTTCCAGGGAAGCGTCCCAAAGTCCCATGTAGACGCTGTTATCGGCGGGGTGTCGCTCACCAAGCAGTTTCCAACTGGACTAGGGGCAAACCCGGCGACGATCATTGATAGAAATGCCGAGGAACGAACCCCTTGAAAAGCGACAATAAATTTTCAAACGCCGAAGGGTTGAATATACTACCGCACTGCCTTGATGCCGAGATGGTCCACAGGCGGCCGCACCCCTGCAGAAATGCTGCACGCTGGTATTCGTTCGTTGGGCTTGGGTGCGAGCCCTGGGCTTGTTGGGGCGCTGCCGTAAACATCTATGTGCCACAGCAAAGGCTGGCCGTATCTCGCCCAACGTTGCGCGTCAGCTTGTCACACGAGATCGTCATGGTGCTGGGTGGGTGGTAATGGGAAATGCATACTGGCAGATGGATCGAGGCGATTCCAATGTATCTGCCACATTGACTGCCTACGCGACAACGACTTTGCTGCCAATGGTCGGTCATCGGGCGGGAAGAGTATCCCATCAGGCAGAAATGTCGTTGCACTGGAAGTGAACATGCTCGTACCCAGTCCACTGGTACCCATTCATCGCAACGGCGAATGATAGGAAAGTCACGCATGTGGATTTTTGCTGCTGCTTTGGTTTTCTCGCGTGTGCTGTCCATAGAGGGCTGAAGCTCACCGGGCCCCACTGTGGAGAGATGTCTGTTCTTAATTGCTGAACGGCTTCAGCTGTGGAACAATGCAGCCTTTCCTTCCTGCCATCTGGAGAAGCGTGTGCCAGTGGAGGTTGACCATTCTTGTGATAGTGTGTCATGATTTTGGCTTGCGCTGCATCACTGACGCGCGCAACGTGGCGCCCACTGGCATGCAGTTCAGGGTATACGAGTTCGGCAATGACGGCGATTGCACCCGTGCACGTCTATTGCCCCAATTTGGGCGTCGCGGGTGAGAGGCCGGTGGAACTGTTGGGTGTATAATATACACTGTATGTATACACATATATACATTCATCTGTATATATACACTGTACATATACATAATATATATTAAGCTATTATCTTGCTATATTAAGATATTTCTACATTAGTAATGTACTCCTCAAATTCTGCCAATTATGACCTACGTATCCTTACGGCCTACACACAATCCTAAAGTCCCAGGCCCAAATTCTGCTGTCAGGTAAAGGAGTACCAGGAACCATATGTTCAAATAAATTTGCATAAACAGGATACATATCAGCCAAAAGATACGTAGTTGCACAAGTGCATGTTGCTCCATCATTAATGTGTTCATTGAAGTCGCCATGCGCTTCCACTGCATCCAAAACAGCACTTCTATATGCGTGGTTTACGTGACGTTCGTGCGTTTCTTAAGAAAAAGATTGGTAGAGCTACCATTTAACAAGGCAGTTAAATATACATAGCTGATGCAGTTGCAACTGCGGAGTACCGGGACTCCGCAACACCGCCCTTTGCGTTGCAGACAACAGAAGGGGAATAGTGAAAAGGGTCCAATTGGTGCCGGGCGCCAGCCAGTGGCAGCCTTTCAAATCTTGCAATACGTTGCTCAATCCATTACATGAGACTTTCCATGATTTTCCACGCAACGGAAGTTACATGTTGACCTTGGGGGGCCGTCTAATGCATTGGGCGTGTTGCTGGAGGTCTTCAAGCCAAATCTGCCAGTCTCGCGGCGTTCTCTTTGGTATTCCAGAGATTTTCGAATCGCCTTCTGAAGGCGAACGCAACAAAATGAACACCTACCGGAGACGTGATCGCGGCTAAGCCCCTGAGGCTTACATGCGGAGGGCCTGCACTAGGGCGCTTGGATCGATTACCAAAATGCATGTTGGACTTCCCAGAGTTGCAAGTCTGCAATCCACCATTGCTGGCTGTGTTTGACTGCCTAGTGCGCTGCTCAGCTTCAGTTGTTTCAATGCGCTGCATGAAATGTGCCAAGAGAAAAAGCGACGGCGACATTCAGGGCACTGCATTATCGCAGAGGGCCCCACTACTCCACAAGCCTGCATTGCCTCGTGACACACACGTCAGCATTGCGTCAGCGGGCACCACGCGAGGCCCTGATCGTCATCAGCCGCCTTGCGCGGCCCCCATCGCAACCACCCTGCATGACGCGACTTCCACAGGAACGTCCCCGCAGATCTGCACAGGCAAGAGCCCTGATCAGGGCCCCCCGGCCATGCGCCAGACCCTCATTCACATGCATCAGCGCGCAGCGACCCGCACATGAAGCCACGGCGGCGTTGTCGGATCCGGGCAGCGGCGGTGGGAGCGCAGCGCGGTGGACAGGGATCCAGAGCGCGCCCCTCCCCCCCCCACACCCCGTTTCAATCTCCGACTAGCTAATCGCAGACGCCGCGCCATGGCGCCCTTCGCCGCACGAGCAGTGCCCCTTATCCTGCTGGCCGTCGCCGCCGCAGCCCAGCCGCTGTTTGTACTGCCCCCGACCACGACAATCGAGGAGCTGGAGGCGGCGCGGGAGCAGTGGCGCGACGAGGGGCCGGAGAGCTACGTGATGCGCTACCAGCGCACCTGCGACTGCGGCTTCTGCGGCTGCGACCGGGCATACGACGAGCCGTTTGTGGTGACGGTGGAGAGCGGGGTGGTGGCGCATGTGGAGTACCTGACCCCGTACGATTTCTTCAGCCGCCCGGTCAGGGAGGAAGTGGCGGCGAACATCCCCACCGTGGAAGGCGTGTTCGACATGATCGCCGACGCCATCCTGTGGGGAGGCGGCCCGGTGCACGTGGCCTACGATCCGGAGACGGGCGCGCCGCTGGAGGCCTTCACCCTTTTCGACTACAACGACTACTTTGACGAGGACTACAACTTGGACGTCCACAGCGTCCAGTTCATGGGGTCGGAGTTCAGCGACAACGATGACGATTCGGGCTTGGGGGGCGCTAGCCCGGTGGAGCAGTTTAAACGCGCTTTCGCCCAGTGGTTCGCCTTCAGGCCGGCTAGCTACAAACTGAGGTTCTTCGTGGAGTGCTTCCAATTCGACATCCCCGAGCTGAGCTTTTGCCCACCGACGCCAGAGCTCCAAGGTCCGTTCATAGTGTCGGTGGAAGGTCGTGAGGCAGTCGATATCGTGTTCGCCCCAGAGGCCAATGTGCCACCGGGGACGCCCATTGACCCATCTTTCGTGGCCACGGTGATCGGCCTGTTCGACTTCATAGGTGAGGCCCTGCTCTACAACCCCGCCCTGACGGAGGTGCAGGTGACGTACAACCCTCAGACCGGGGTTCCCGAGTACTTCTTCTATGACGAAGTCAAGCCGCTCCCTGGCTTCGAGATTGCGTTCCACACCGAGCTGCTGTAGTTGCGTAGGAGGACGGACGGATGGGTCGAGGCGGTCTTTTGAAACGTGGTGATGGGTTTCGTTGTGGTACGAACCAAAACTGCATTCATCAAATCCACGCAAGATAGGAAGCTTGTGTCCGGCATTGAGTGGGGAACAGATCAGCATGACCTGCCTACCAGGGCTGAATCTGGGCTTTAGATGGCGTTTTCGACACTTCAATGGGTGTCGTTTCCCGGTGTACTGAGGTTGTTCAGGGTGAAAGGGCGGCTGCGGATTTCGGCTCTAGGGAATTGACCCGCGCACTTTGGAGCCGAGCGAAGCAGCAGTATTTGGGCACTTAGTTGAAAGTTCTCCTGTCTTTTTCTTGCACCCCGGCCCTGTACCCGCATTGGATATTGCAATGTTCTTAGATGTTGAATGTGCGAGTGAGCTAATTAAGGGTTTTGAGATGGTGAGGGCATGAACTACCGTTGGTCAAGTAAATGGAATTTAAGGAGAATGGACTGTTTTCGAAGGAAATTGACGTCCCTGCGCCAGTGTTGTCCCATGCAGCATGTTGACAGCAACTTCAGATACCAACGGAAGCGATGCGGAAGACACACTGTTCCCATAAGTTTCGAGACGAGTTCAACGCGACTGTGGTCACCTTCATGCCACAAATCGTATTGTACAGTACGATGTACTGTCAAGGGGAATGCATTAGAGTTGGGGCAAGGGGGCTAGAGCACAAAACTACCCCCGATTGGTTGGACACGTGCCAGCTGCAATGTAGATGTTGAACATGATGGCATTCATGCGAGAAACCTATGATTGTACGTACAATCACAGATTCCTGGAAGAATGCCACCATGGGAGTGTTGCGTTGCACAGAAGCCCCGTGCACAACAGGTCGTTCCCTCCGATAGTTGGCCCCATGTTCTGTCTTCCAGTGCATGATTCATGTGCCAAGTGTACGAGTTAATATCGGAACCCCATCATTTTCCTTACAATAATTGAGATTTCCAACATAGGCTATTGACCAAAACCTTCATTGTTAATTGTCATATTGGCTTTATTTGTTGTCCACTATTTGCATGAGAGCTATGCAGCGGACTCTAGAGGATGGAAACCCGCCGGATGGATGCCTTCATGAGAGGAATTACCAGGCAAGCCATGGTGCATTGCGTGATACCCTGCTAGACACTCAGCGGTTCCACTGCCAGAAAATGTCACCGTCACCCGCACGTCGTGATGCAAGTGATGGCATCCATTGTCTCTGGCAAAATGTGGCCGCCTGGCATGGCAGCCACCCAGGCTTACATCCACAAAACGCCAAGCCTTCGCCTGTCCCGCCTTCCGGCTCGATTGGACTTGCGTCGAAGGAGACGAATCTTGGGTCGTACAGCTCCCTCGCGAACACGTCGCCAGCGATTCCGCCACGGAAAACCCGGCTCAAAAGGACCTCCGGGCCTCGCACATCCAGGCTCACGCAGAAATCCGCGCCTTGTGTGAGAAACATGCAGGAAGCCGCTTCGAATCTCATATAATCACTCGGAAACCCATGCCCTCAATTGCCGAGGTTGCAATGGGCGCGCTCTGCCGAAATTCGAGCGCCATAGACATCAAATTCCTGGCCGCCAAGCCATTCTGGTCGGGCTGTGCGCCGCGGCCTGTGTGCAGGGACCACACATGCGGAGAATGCCAACAGAGTGTTTACAATATAACGGACGATGGCCCGCTCCGTTTAGCCCCTCCGACGCTGGGCGCAGCAGCACGCAGCCCCACACGGCACAGCAGCCACCCCCAAAACACCCTAACCACGTCAGAAAGGGCAGTACAATCGAATCTTATACAATTTCTATGAAGTCACGTCCAAACATGGCAGTTCACATCCTTTTCACTCTCCTTGCGCCTCATACTCTACTATTCGTATCACATCTGAGCGCGCCTCCGCAATCCTCACGGCATGCTCTTCTAATCCTCACGTAAGCCCATTGCACCGCTAAGGTGTCCATCACTTCATACTTTCGTCACCTTTCCAGCACAAGCGCAACGCCACAATCGAATCTGTGCGGCCACCTCAAAGAGTCATAGGAACATTCCTTTACACCTACGCCTACGCCTGTCCTTTTCCCGCACTACAATGTACTGCTCATAAACAACGCTGTGACGTCACAGCCACGCCACACATCTGCCCAGCTATCCTTCCCGATTGAATTAAGAGACTGACACACTCACCCAGCGCATCAGCAAACAAAGTCTGAATCTTCATGACCAAATCCATGACCAGATTACTGATATTGCTGTGCGCAGCAGGTCGCACCCCTGTTGGACTGTCAAGCCTCACAGAGACACATAAACTACATTTGCTTGATACAGATAAATTGAAGGGATGGTACTACACCTCGCCCTAGCTTGTCCTGATCAATTGTGAATTGGTTAGCATAAAAATCCACGTCAGATTTGGCGCATTGGTGCGGAACAATCACTGAGAAGTCCAAAACTATATCTAGCAAGCATCTTGAGAGTTCCTCGATCACTTAGAGCAGGACTTCAAATATCTGGTTCGCCAATGTATTCAGCATAGGCTCGCAGCAATTTCCACAAATGTACAGTAGCACAGTGACATTAATCACATAAATTGACCGCCATCTTGCTTGAAACGTGGTAGCGTAGTCATCAATTGCGTAGATTGCCTTGCAGACGTCGTAGATTTGTTGCAGCACGAATCAACACCTCTTGGGTCAGTTCCAGTCGACCACCTTTGACGAAAAGCTTTGGCCGTCGGTGGCAAAGTCTTGCCGCCTAGGAAGGCGTTTGAAACGTGCAATCTCAGCCCTGCAGCGTTCAACTGTATGCCTACGGTGGCTGCCCTGTCTGCCACTGTGAGTAATCTGGTAGCACTACATCACCTGTCCCCGTGAAGCCGTCACCGCGCTTTTCCACCGCTGTTCTTCGCGCCTCTCGCCACTCGCGCGTCCCACATGCCACAATCCCGCACAGCCCTCGAGGCCTCCACCCGGCCAATGGATCCATCAGCGAAGGCTTGCCAAGAGTTGCAGCCATCGCCGGTCCCACCGATTGCAATCGGTGCTCGCAACCCCTTGATCCCCGATCGCCAGTGCGAGCCAATCGACGCGCATTGCTGCGGCCCATCGGTGGAGATCCATCCTTGCGGCGGTGCTGCGTTGTCGGACGCAGTTTTCGAGTGAGGACGCAGCTTCGTGGGCCAAGCGCGTGCGTCCAGAGGGGTGGCGAGCGGAGCCCTGGGCATCACGTCATTTCCTGGGACGCCGGACCTCCGTGGAATCGGTATCGTGTCCCGTATCTTAGCAGAATTGGGCGCACATTGAGATACCCATATATCTCGCCGCATTGTCGTCTCCGTATTCTCCTTTTGTGCTGGATTTCGTCCCCTAGGAGAAGAGGAAGCCCTCTTTTATACTCTTGTGGATTTTCGCCACTTCCTAGCCACCTTTTGAGGCTCACGGGTCGCCAGCTTGGCATAATTTCATATCATTATATTGGCGACCCGAACACACTCCGAATGCTCAAAGATTGGTGTGGCTACGGAAAGACGCTATTTGAGTTTGGTACGCTCAGCATCAAATGGACAGTAGGTTCGTAGGCTCAGGCCCCCTTTCCCCACCCTACCCACCTACTTTATTTTGATGCCATTATGACTTTACAGCATAGTGGCATACATCTATAAGATGTTAAGCGACAACAAATCAGAGTCGTAGCGATTAAAGGGGGCTAAAAACAGGATGCCAGAAGCCAGGGTATGAGCTGATCCACCCGAAGGACTTTCATGAAGATTGAGTGCTTAGCTGTTTGTTGTTGATCAGCGGCACCCTAATACATCATCTTACCTTAGTCGACTTTGGTGGAATTGTACGGTCTCTCAGCGTCCATGGCCTGAGCGCGTGTAACAAAAGTATGTTGAGCTATATTCGGGCCCAGGAGCACGAAGCACAAGAGAGTGAGCGGCCATTTGTCATGCCTCGATGGTTGTCATCAATGGTGGTTTGTGCTCAGTGATCGAAGGATCATCTGCATAACGACCAACATCAGGTAAGATCACAAGAATATGTCTCCACCACTGCTTGCGGCGTTGGCATTTAGCCACGTTCATGATAGCCAGCACTGCAAACGCGGGTTAAACCAGCTCTGCTTATACAACAGAACAATTCTGTGGGTCGAACGCAAGTGTGATGGGACGTTGAATAGGTTGGCGCTATTCGCATAAGGCACCAATTGTCGGATTGCGCCAGGACTGCCGCACAAACATCGCTAAATTGGCGCCCTATCAACGTGCCCAAGAGCTCACTGACGTCCCGTTTCACAGGGGGCACTGCAGCGCTGCCACGTCCGCCCCTCCTCTACCACGCCACCACACCTCCACCTACATCGTGCCCATGGTGTGACACCACCCAGACCAACTACGACTATGAACAGAAAGAAGTAACCTTAAGGGAGGCACAAACAGGAAGCAATTGCGATCAGAAAAGTGCGGAACAGACAGTGCGCATGGCACCAATGGTGTCATGCCCATTTCCAATCTGCCACGATTTTCTGTGGTCTTGAAATCAACCTGAGCTTGCACAGGTTCTGCAGCATCAGGATTGAAGCCCGCTTCCCCAGCCAACTAATGTATAACGACTCTGGCTAACCGATTCGGGATAATACCAGCAGGAGCCATTTGCGCAACCTTCCCAAATGGGTGGCACCGGCACCGTGCAGTCTTCTCAGAGATTGCCAGCGTGCATCAGCACTGGACTGTGTTGTATCCTCCACAGTCACCGCACTTGTGGCCAATAAAATGGAAGTAGACCTGCCAAGCAAATCAAGACAAGAACGCACTGAGCTTGCATCACATGTCCCGGCCTCAGCAGCACGACTCCAGGCAAGCGCGCCAGAGGCCAGTAGTGCCGTATGGCGCACCAGTGCTTGTTTCACACTCTAAGAGAATGCGATTCCACTCTTCACCGCTTTATTATGTTTATCAAGTTTATGTTTCCTGAACAGGGTATTGTGACCATCTCACTCGATACTCTGTGACTGCAACACCTTGTCACCTCAACTTCTGTCTTTGGATTGTCACCTCAACTTCTGTCTTTGGATGTTGCAACAACCCAAGCCGACTTTAGTGCTGCAACACGACTGTGGTAGCCACAAAAGCAGTACTCCACGCTGCTACACTTAACAGCAATACTACTGTGTCATTAGCTGGAAAAGGCGAAGCATCAGGGCCAAGATCATTTCAGTAGGAGGCACTTCCACCTCATGGAACACTCGTGCCTACTTTACAGCTGCACTGACAGTTCTCCTCAACCTCTTCACAGAGTGCAACACAGGCTCAATACAAGAGATGAGTGTTGCTCTGTGAGGCAAAGAGAATTCTGGTGAAGAAACTCTCAAACTTGATTCCGCACCTCACTCCTCGCATGGCAATCGTTGCACAGGATGCGGATTATCTTGTTTGCATACTCTTCTGGCATTGGCATGGACTCCACCTAGCAGCACACAGCAGACCTTTTATTTTTCTGTTCTCCAACTTCGCGAGCCAACAGCCTCCACACCTTGCCTTGAGTGCTGGCCATGAAACGAAGCACCTGCCGGGAGAACTCTCAAAGCGCAGTCTGCATTGCGTTTCCGCAAGTTCGCACCAAGTAACAACTAGACCAAACCAAAGTGCAAGGCAGCTCCTTTCCACTGGCCAGGTGCACACGTCCAACATAGTGTAGCTGTGGTCAAATGCAAAGACTGACAACAAGCTGTCCATGCAATGGGCATTCAGAGTAAAATCAACGGCTGTGAAAACGGGCAAACACCTGTATGAACCACTGTTGGTGGGCGAAAGGAAAGCATGTGGAAGTAGGATGTAGCAAGAAGGTATTCCAGTGGAGAGAAACTATTCAGAGGTAGTAGGCAAAAAGTGGGAAGAAGCCCGCACAGAGGAACCGTGGATTTCCCAGAGATTGCTGCCACTGGTCTCAGCCTTGGACAGGTGGGGGGCAGCTTCATGCTGATGAATACGTTCTGCAGGCGCCTAGCTCGAGGCTCTACTAGGTCGCAGGTAAGAAAACTGAAAGAAAACAGTCGGCTACCCTCTTGCAATATCCCATCCATAACAACGCCACCAGCCAACAACAAATCCTTCGGTTCTGGACTTTGGCTCAATAGTTCCCTTGCAGAACTCAGCACAGGCACTGAGCTATGCCCATCACATCAATTCTTTGGGCATGGGTTACCCAAGACATGGCGCAACACTCACGGTGGCATCCATCCTCCTCCATGTACTTGACATGTCTCCCACCGTCTTTTTGCACAGTGGGCAGCAGTTCTGGCTGTGGGTCAGCAGCTCATCGAGGCACTCCTTGTGTATTGTGTGGCCACACCGTAGCACAGACACATTCCGTCTGGAGTCAAACAAATACTCGTAGCACACCGGGCAGTTGCGGTGCATGCTGTTTTGCACACAGACGTGGCTTCCCTGTGAAGCAAACAAGGAGGATGATCAATTGGACCATCCTCATCGTTCAAGTACAGTCGTTGGCAACAGCTGGTGCTTCTTCTGAAGTGGCGACTATCAACATTTGGCATGTTTAACACTCGCTGGGATGGCCTTTGCCTTTTGGCAGCAGGCACCACTACCTGTTTGAGTGCTGCCTGTGTTTACAGTGCTCTCGAAACAAGTACTAACACATGCAGATGCTAATGGCACCTGACAATGCCTAATGGGTGCAGTGGCAGTGCTTTATTGGAATTTGATCGATGCCATCAGTGAGGTTTCACAATGGTGAGCCGGAGAAATGTGTATTCACTGCAGCACAGAGCCTTGTAATAGACAAACACAATACCTTGACATGTTTCAACATTCCAACGTGTGTGTGCCCATCCAGGGCCACAGGAAACCTCCGCAGATCACCACCCAGCCCAGAGAGAAGAGAGGAAAGAAAAGAAAGGCATGCACAACAAGGAGGTTGTTCATTATTAGGGCATGAGCACCCATCCCCAAGCCTGGGGCTGTCCACAACAAGACCCCAGCACTGTCTGTGCGATCGCGTGGATGGCATGAGGAGCTGCGAGCCATCGGGCACATACACGCGCTGTGGATGAATGCTGCTAAGCATTGTGATGTCCATGTGGACCACTCGAACAGCTGATAATCTGCGTCCACAGGAGACGTATGCATTGACTGGTGTGTCGTTCATCACGTTGTTGCAGTCGATGCATTCATTCACTGTTGGTTACACATGCGCCCACATCGTCCGCAGCACGCAAAGGGCCAGTCTTGTGGCCCAGGGGCTTACTCAGTTCAAGCCAGACTACTCCCCAGTCCCCACCACCACCAGCACCACACACACACACACACACACACACACACACTGTTCACAGCATGGAAAAGGCCTTGCGTACATTTAATTAGGAGGGGGTGCTCCCTTGTATGACCTGTGGTTTCGGCGATTGTAATATATTGACACAAACCAGGCCCCAACCCCAACCCCCTTGCCTAGGAGGGAGTGCCCATTGTATGTTTCTCTTTCTCTTTTGTAACAAGTCTTACTCCCAACCCCTCCCTCAACCCCACACAGCCAGCCACTCCACCCACCTGTATGTCCTTGGTGTAGCAGCAGTTGCACGTGTCGCAGTGGAAGAAATTCTCCCGGCCGCCCACCCTGCATATCCCACAGCCCGCGCAATGGAACTGCTCCTTGGCAGTGTCGTCGTCGAAGAAGTTGCACACCATGCAGGTGTAAGCGCCGAATGCCACGCCGCAGGTCCTGCAGCGCGGGGCCACGGGCTGGCGGTCGCCGCAGGGGGCGCAGACCACCTCCTTCACCGCCTGCCGGTCGAGTGTGTGCCTGCGCTTGGCGTCCTGCCGGCCCCCACAAACATATCCGACAAGTGTTTGAACGGGGTAGAAATGATTGGCGTGCAGTGGGCGCTCCCCTCCCAGGCCAGAATGCCGTCCAATGCTTCTTTCCGCACTTTAGGAGATGACGAGGAAGTGGCTCAGAGAGACGGGGAAAGAGCGCAGAGCGGAGCGCCGCGCACAGCAGCGAGGCATGCGCCCATTCTGGGGGGGATCCGCGTGGGGGATTGCGCGATGGCCGACGACCGGGGCTGCGGGCGATCGAGCGCTTGTCGACGGGCGCAGGAGGCCGAGCATGCTGGGAAGGGACTGAAATTGGGACTGCGCCCGCCGGTGGGCGGGGAAAACCGAAGGCGCGGGGCTGCGGCCAAGGTGCCAACGCCAGGGGCTCGAGGAAGGACGAAAACAGCGCGGGATTGTTCGGATGCGCGACGACCGAGCCCGTCGCTCAGCGCAGAGCGCGTCGCCGCCACCCCGAGGGCAAAAATCGACGCGCGGCTTCTCGCTGTTTCTGACATCGAATCAAACCTCCACGGCGACGACCCAGAAAATGGAACCCAACTTCGCCACCAGAATCACCGAAAGACGCTCACCGCCTCCCCGTCGTTCTTTGCCGCGTCGTGGCAGTGCCGGCACCAGAACACCTCCCCGCAGCAGGGCGCCACCAGCCGGCACCGCCGGCGGTAGTGCTCACAGCCGTCCCCGCCCTCCGCCTTGGACCCTCCGGGACCGCCCAGCCGGGCGAGGATGTCGTTCGCCATGGGCCGCCGCTGGGCCGCCTCGCCCCCCCGCCCGAAACCGGGGTGGCTGGGCGGCGGCCGCGGCGGCGCTCGGGGGCAATGCGGCAGGCGCGATTTGGGCGTCGCGTGGTGCGCACCGCGCTCGCCTTTGGGTGTTCGGGTGGAAGGGGTTGGGCGGCTGGTGGGAGGTTGGGCGGGGGTGAATCACGTGGACCCTTTGCCACGGGACTCAGGGGGGACGGTGCAATGTACGGCCCGGCGTACGGGCAGCACGGAGTTTATATAAAGTCCCTATATAAAGCCCCTATATATCAGGGTGCTGGGCGGAGGCAGAGGACATTGTGGACTGTGGACGTTGTAGACTTGGGCAGGGCCGGCGACGAAGTGGAGCGGGGCGAACAATATGCGTGGCGGTCTTTGGGCAGGCGTTGGGCGGGAGGCCGCCGACCGACAGGGAAGACCCGTCCAAGGCGTGCACGAGAACGGAGGCCTCGGGTGCCATTGAATCTCGGGCCTTGAGCCCACACGTTCAGACGCAGCCCAGGACCATGGGCGCTGAAGGAGAGCGGCCAACAGAAACAAGCCTGGATGGCGCTACTGCCCAGTGCCTATTCCCTGGTCAGCAGCTCATAAACTAGCGCTGATCAAAATGTGCATGTCGTGACATGAATGCGCAAGAACATCTGGTCGCTCAACATTCATTCACTCCCAAAGAGGCGGCTGACTTTCTATGTGTTCAGGTGGCTCCCCTGCAGGGCGACTCACCCAGGGAAGACAGCCGTTGGTTCTGTTCCAAACCACGAGAATTTGAGGCCAGGGAGTTGTGCTATTGATGTAAATTGTCCGCACGTGGACAACGTTGAATTCCAGGGCAGAGCTCGGCGGCACGAGTTTTTTAGCATGGCTTTGTTATATGACATAAGATAGATATAATGGTGATATAGGATAGATATAAGATAGATATAACTTGTATCTAAATCCTCTTCGCCACGATACCTGTCTGCGCCAGTGAGCAACCACCTTTGAGTTGCCCAGAAAGCACCAAGCAAAGCTGTCCACCAACAGAACGTTCTTGGGCTCACCTCGATCTCGAGTGTTGAACACAGTGCGCAATGTGCGCACGTACGTGTGTGGGAATGCGGTATGTTGCAACGTGTGCAATTCGGCGGCCTGCATTTCCGTAGATGGCCTTCACGGTTCATCACTTATGTTGGGCCTGAGTATCAAGATCTTTCGCTATAGTGCATTGAAGTAGGGGTGTACTTTGGGGGGGGGGGGAATCGCCGAAACGTGAACGGTTATCACCTGCGAGCACCTACATGTAGCGTTTCTGTCACAGAATGGGCTCCCCAGAGCAGCTTGCAGGTGGCATGGTTTTCCTTTGAGAGAACTTATTAACACGTTGGAATGAAATCTTGCGGCCACAAATCTGTGGTAGCCCATAAATTACAGTTTCGTGGCCTCAAAACTAATTCCGATGAGGTTACTTGGAAAAGGGTCTGTGAGGCAAATGAGGAAGCATCAGGCAGCCGCCAATGCAGGCAACGTGAATCGATTTTCGCCACATATATTTTGCTGAGCGATGACTCTAGGCCGATGTTTATGCAGCACAGCCACCCGTGCATTTAATGTGCTGCGCACGATAGAATGTGTGTCGAATTGAAAGCTAGATTATCATACAAGACCAACAATTCGGTGGATCAGGTGATCAGTCATTGCGATAGGGCTTCAGAATAGATCACTTGACGCATCTAGAAGCAACTAGTCCACGCCAAAAGGATTGTGCAGAGTTGGCAGGAAGTACGGCATGGATTGAACAGCCGGGGTACATTGTAACGCAATCGCCGTGCTGTGCTTGCAAAGTACTCCAGGAAGGGATGAAACAACTGCCAAGAACGGCAACTGGGCCCGATGGGCCTGCAACTCAAAAACGGGGAAAATGCTCATTAGTTTTTGGAGGCTCTCAATGTGTTTGCAGGTGGTGCCCAAAGCGCCATTGTACAGCACGGGTGTTTTCCGTGTTTCACCAAGTCGTCTTGTGAACAATTGTCCAGCCTGGCTCAAAAATACGGCTCGGCACGGCTGCTCAACCATGTTGCCGATGTGCACCCAATAGCAGACCATCAGTCATTGAATTGTCTCTGGTGCATCGCGACAAATTGTAGACCAAGAGGAATTTCAAGCCGGGGAGTGTATTAAACAATTGTCGCCGCGCCCCACCTGGTTGACCCGTCCATATATAGGAAGTTGAACTTCACAGGGATACAGCGATGTCGACCTGTGAAGTGATTCTTGTGCACGATGTCATTTGCGAGCACATCTTCTTACGCGCAGGGTACCATGCATTCCCGGCAACGCCTGCACTCGTCATTCGCAGCGTCTGCGCTTCACATTCGGGGAGGCACCGCTGCGGCACACACGGGATGGTGACTGGTGCCCAATGATCCAATTGATGATGACACTTCGAAATTTGAGGGTGGACGAAGGCCTCAGGTTGGGGTGGGAGGGGTGTGAGAAGAAGTACGCCACCCGTCATCGCGACTGATGGGTAGCTGATGCGCCTTGCGTCTGGCCTGCGTATCCTGCAAACGGCCCAAGTGCACATCGGCTGCCAAAGGGCCAGCAGGCCATAGCCTTACGGGCTCCATGCTGGGCGTCCCCGCTGAAGTATTTAGCAATAGGCGCTGTAATGTGGATGGCGGATGAGTGCCCAGCAGCCACGGTCTCCGGCGCGTCCGCCCCCGCCCGCCCTCTGGTCTCCAACTCTGGCGGTAGGGCCGCCGCGGGGTGACAAAGGCAGTGCACCAAACAAGGGGATGGGCGTGGCAAGCGCCGACTGGGCTCGAGCCGCCTTCCTGGCCTGCGTCTTCCTCACCGCGGCAGCCGCGGCAGCCGATCGGCAGCCAGGTAGGGGGACTTGGATTGCGGCACAGCGGGGGCTGATCAGCGTGGCGCTCATCACGATGGAACCCGATGTGAAGGTCGCCATTGTTTCGTTCATGGCGTCGCCAGACGCTTGCCAATACGGCCTTGGCTGTAGCCCTTGTGACCTCCCACGGGCGCCCAGCGCCGCTTCAGAATCGTCAGAATCTGAGGGACGCCCGCCCCGGACGACATGGCAGGTTGCACAGGGGGCGGTCCCGGCACGGGCAAAAGCTCGGCTCGTTTTCAGGCGGGAATCCTATCGCAAGGGCGAGCCCATGATCCTCCTTCCGACCACATCCGGGGGCATGATCCCCGGCAGGCCCGCAGGCGGGGAGCAAACCGTAGTCTTGCGCGCTCCTTATCAGCGGCCGCCCAGCCGCCCGTCCGGGTGGCACCGTCGAATGTACTGGGACTGTCCGCGGAGGGTCTCGCCCTGGGGGCGTGCTGGACCCCGGCATGGTGCGCCAATTTGCCGAATCTGGTCCCATGTGGCTTCCGGATTAGAGATTTCGTTTGTCATGAGTCTTGGCGGCCCCGGCGCCCACTGCTGCGCACGTGGGGGCAAGTTGGAGAGAAGAGGGCTGCGGCCGGCGGTCGGAGTCAGGCTGAAAAGGCGCGGGGACGCCGGCCCCGATCGGAGAGACCCGACTTGGCAGCAAAACGTTGACGCCGCTCTGGATTTGTCATGTGTTGTCAATCTGTTGTCCGGAAACCATAGTCGCTGCGACTTTGGAGAGCGGATCGCTGGCGGCAGGATGGCATCCAGGGGCGGCGCCGGCGTTTCGGCCGAAGGCCGTCGAGTGGCCCATCGCCCACGTCACCAGTTGCGGTGGTCTCGCGTCACGGCTGCTGCGCGTCTGCTACTCAGGGTGGTGACAACTCTACGCATGCGCCGGTCTGCGCTCGAAGCGGGGCCCGGTTTTGGCACGGATCGATTTCGAGACTGTTTGGAGCCGCGTTCGGTTGTGGGTGCTGCTCATTTAAGCCACAGTGGCTGTGCCGCGCACCGCGGGCGCCCACCTGCTCAACATGACGTCTTGCGGTCGTCAGTCCCACTTGCGTGACGACATAGCCGCCGGGCTGTGCGTCGTCGCGTGGATCCTCGCTGAAAGTGGAGAACTGGGTGCCACCGCGGAGGCATCTTTCGGAGCCTGTTCGATCGAATCCCCGTCGCCGCGCAGTGGAAGCCGCTTGGTTGTGCGCCGACCATTAACATTCCCAACATTCTTGCCCCCACTTGGGCTCGCCTTCCGCACCTGTTCAATCGTCACTTGCGCGGCCCCTCGCCGCCGTTGGTTGCGTCGGCACTGAAGTTGGTCAGGTGGGGATCTTCAGCAACCATCAAAAGGACGCACATTTAGTTTGGAGGCAGGCAGGCGAGGTAGCGGCAAAACCGATGCTCAGCCGCTGCTTGCAGGCCGCCCACATGCAGTTGAAAACACTCTGACCTGATAGCGGCATCCATAGTAGTGGTGCAGGTGGAGGCACCGCAGAAGTGTTGTGCTGCGTCCTTGTTGGAGGTATCGATCCCCTTGCTTCCATCATGGAACAAAACAAGACGAAGGTATTCCCAGTTCTCCAACTCGATGTTGATGGAGTGGGAATTCTTTGTCTCATAAGGCAACTGAACGGCCAAAAAGTCTTGCTGAAGAAGCTTGCAAATCGAGGAGCACCCCGAATGGAAATTTTTGTCTCTTTGGACTTTGTGTTGAATGATACAAACTCTTGATGACCCCCAATGCATGTAAGGGCAGTGACTTGTGTGCTATTTGCAAAGTTGTACTCCTTACAAAAGTGACAACGTGAAATTTCTCATCGACTAATTACAGGATGGCGAGGAAAACGACAAATTGGATCGGTCACCACAGTTGGGACATGCTTGATGGACCCCGTGTGCTGAGGATTCCTTCCCAGTTGCAAGCAAATGCAACAGCACTTTCCGGAAGCAATCGTAAGAAGTCAACATGCTTGTCATGCGGGCAGTGCAAGCTTTTCTTTGCTTGGTCCCGTTTGACAATCATGGGCTGTAGCCTTGCTAGTTTGTTGCCTATGCATTTGAAATGCATAGCATTCACAAGCATTTTTTGAGCAAGAGCTCCTGTGATGCTAAAGCAGTATTTCGCAGTCTCTCCTTGTCGATTTAACATTTGCAGCATCTCAAAAGACTATTGAAGCACCCCCCATGCATGCTGCTGCAGTCACAGTGCCATAATTGTCCGATGGCATGCCCAATATCCTACAGTTGTCACACCTTCAACATGCTTGTCTTGTAGAGAGGCGCCTGCTCCAAGACATCAAGAACACACCAGTGGTAATCAATGCAACAAATGTGGACAGCATCGGAGTGGTCCTGGGTGGCTTGCAGAATGGGACAACAGTATCCTTGGACATCGACACAGTGGAACTGAGGGATGTTCTTACTGTTGAGGCTGATCGCATTACGATTGTTGGGGCTTCTAACAATGGCAGAACCGCCATTAAGTGTGGAGCTCCCACTGCTGGCATTGAACTGAGGTGACCATTAAGGTGTCCTCTTGAAGCTGCACTCAACTTATTGCTGCAATTGTTTTCCTGCCCTCACCCCTTGGTTAATTGTTTTGGGGTTGCCTTTTTGGTTTGCTGAAATAAGGTGCCACCTGTCAATGGATGCATTGATGTTTGACTCTGAAAACCAGTTTGTGATCCACTACCATGGCACAAGGTCCCTGCAAATCTGTGGCACTTTTTGACTTACTCGACAAAACACACACCGTGCCACACATTTCTGTGTGGGCATACTGGTGAGCCTTTAAAAAATGAAATCAGCTGTGTACACAACACCCTCAGCACCAACTTGTTGCAGCATGTCCATCAATAGAGTAGGTACAGCAAATGAACAACCTATTTGGTTGGTATGCAATCCGACTGCTCCAGCACAGATCATGAAGGTTCACAGGGAGGGTTGGAACAGACTGTTATGGTTGTATCACTCCAGCACAGGAGAACCAGGTGGCTTGCCCATTTATGTGCCTGCTGTTTATCCCTTAAGCCAAACTTGCAACAGTCTGTGGGAAACTGTGCTGGAAAGGTAACAAGCCTCAACTGCAAGTCACAGGCCTGAAGAATTTGCCCAAAGACAGGCCCATACGGTGTGCACCCAGCAGTGTAACAGAGAGAGGTTGCGGGCATTCAGATGTCCCATTTTCAAATGCTCTTGAGTCAAACCTGCTGAACGCATGGAGTACCATGGAGGATAGCTCGTTCGAGGAGTGAAGGGGCACTGAAGTGCTCATGTGGTACCAGGGGCAACAATATCGTCCTCCAGAATGTGGTGGTGCGGGAGTGCACCAAGACTGCAGTTGACATAGTCAACCCTGAAGTTGGACAATCACTCTTCCATGATGAGGGCATCAGCACAGTCAATGTAACCATCAGGAATGCAGCCTTCAATGACAATTGGAATGCTGCATCATTTGGTGGAGGTGTGGCTGTACATGCTGGTGTCAACTTGACAGTCGACAACTGCACGTTTGATAATAACAGTGCACTTACCGGAGGCGCCATCTGGGCAACCAGCTCTAATCTGACTGTCACCAACACCCGCTTTTTGAGCAATGTGGGCCACATCAAGGGTGGGGGCATCCACATTCTCAATGAGGACGTTGTCAGGCATCCGACCATGCTACATGTCAGCAATTGTGAGTTTGTGGGAAACAATGACACACGTGGAGGCGAAGAGTTTGATTTTGAGCCAGAATCGTTGGGCGGGGAGCCTGGGCGGTACCCCTTCCCTGTTCCACAGGAATCTGGTGGCGGCATCCTTGTCAAGGGCGTCTCCCAAGTTGTGATCCGCAACAATGACTTCCTATCCAATATTGCAGTGCCGGGTGGGGGTGCTGTCTTCCTTGTCAATGGAATGGATGTGGAGATGGTTCGCAACACCTTCGTTGGCAACGAAGCAAGGGAGCTGGAGGGCGATTCCATCCATGTCGCACAGGGGGGCGCCGTGTTTGCTGCATCGGCGATGGACACCACGTACAGCTTTACCAACAATGAGTTCCGGAACAATCGGGCAGCATATGGTGGCGGCCTCTGCTTGATCGCAAACTCACAAGCCCAAGTTGACCTGGATGGCAACGTGTTTGAGGACAATGTTGGTTGGTGGGGGGGAGGCGCCATGACACTACGGAATGTGAATGATGTGGGCATCACCAGAACTGTTGCACGAGGAAACAAGGCCCAAGTTGGCGGGGCCTTCCTGGTGGCCAACGGAGCTGTGCTGGAGGCAACTCTGATTGAAAAATCGGGGCCCCGCAATTTGTTTGAAGACAACCATGCATTTTACGGTGGAGCCTTGTTTTTCCTGACGGCAGGTTAGTCGTGAAAAGTGTCCGCAAATCGTCTGTTGCGTTGGGCGGTGTGGGTCCACCCTGCAGAATACACAGAGTAGTGACCCTGTATCCAAAGCATCACAGGCTCTCATTGCTGGGTGTTATATTCTGACTACCCCCTTACAAGAGGAATTGATGCAAGTAATCATGCGAACAGTGCAAGATCCTAAAGGCTGACAGTTGGAGTTGTTACTGTGCTTGTGAATTCACAAGCAAGGCTCGCATTTCCCTGCTCGCATTGGGTCCTCAGCCACTTGAGTTGTTGTGATGTAGGCTCAGCGCTTCTGCAATCCTGCGACTTCAACAACAACAGGGCAAAGAGGGATGGCGGAGCCGTGGCTGCTGTGGACTCTCTCCCAAATGGCAACTTGGACTTTCAAGGCTGCACATTCTTTGCAAACATAGCCCAGAGGGGCGGGGCGATATACACCAATGGTGGGGCAGGACTGTTAATTCGCCCATCAGGCCTTCGGAAGCCAACCACCTTTATAAATAACCTGGCCCTGGTGGGAGGGGCCATCTGTACCAGGGCGGAAAACGGATTGCAGAATGTGGTCAAGGTGGTATCAGCGCAGTTTCTTGGCAATAAGGCATCGACCAACCCCAATGATGTTGGCCACGAAAGGGTCGTGATTCCGGTGAGGGAATTCCGTGCAGAGCCAAAACAGATGGGAATGGGCAGAGGGAACGAGGAAGGGCTAAATGAGCTCGCCAATGGGGAGCCATGCACCATGGGCAGCGGTGGCGCTGTGTGCGTCTCTCTTGCGCAGGTTCCTGAAACCGCCGAGGTGTCTGTGGACTTCTTTGAAGTCGTGTTTAAGGGCAACCAGGCCAACGTTGGGGGTGAGTGTCCAATGTGGTGCCGAGTTATCGACCCGGGCTGCTATGGCAGAGAAGACGAGATTTTGGAAAGCGAGGGTGGTTGCAGCAGCAATCATGAAGTGAATCAGTGGAAAATAATGCCAATGCTCGAGTGCATTTGTTGCTCATGGCTTTTGGCACCCACAAATCACGCCTACCAGCGTGGCAGGGAAGGTATCTGGTAGCAGGTACCACCAGTGCATTGTTAGTAACAGGGTGTTGAAGGGCAGTGCCTGCGCACATGATGTCTTGTTCCCAACTACCCTTCCCATATATGGCCTCAGAATGACTGCAAAACCTTCTCAAAACGCTACATTACTTGAACGGTTCAAGTTTGTAACAAACAGGTTATAGAATTCGTTTCGCACAGTGCGGATTTTCCAAACACAAGCAGCGACACTGCCGTCTACCCTGCAGAGTAGTTTCACTGGGATCCAATGTGCTTGAAAGTGCTTTCCGATGCACCCTTAGCTGGGCGCAGTGTCTTTGCATTAGTCGTCTTTGCCTTGCTCTCTAACGAGCAATAGATGGCGATTTCGTTTCCAAGCGAAGTGCTGCCAATACCCCGCCGTTCAAATTGCCCTACACTGCCATTCATATCAAACTGCTCTGTTCTCTCACAGGTGCAGCGTTCTTGGCTCCGGACAACAGTTCTGTGTGGTCAGCTCCGCGGAGCTGCAGCGAAGGTCAGCTGGCGGCCAAGCCTCTCATCGCCGAGCACTGCCGAGAGCTGGGTTTTGACAAATGCACATTCGAGAACAACACTGCCATATCGGCTGGCGGGGCTGTCTTCGCCACGTACCCAGGCAATGTGTGGATGGAGTTGGAGGTACGACTGAGCGCATGCAACGGAGTTGTTGACTCGACAATTCAACTGTGCAATCTAGCACACCTCTTCAACATCGAGCAGTTATTCGTCCCTTTGCCACGTGGTTACGCCGTCTTGTGACGCCTTGTCGCCGTCCATGTTGCCCTTGCACCGCCCCAGGTCGACTTCAAGCAGATGTCCGCCTATTCGCTCGACGACCTTCCCAAGGGGAATTTTGTTGGCGAAGGCGGTTACGGCGCCAACTTCGCCTCGCGAGCCCACGACTTGAACATTACATCGGCCGTGACCCCCGGCGGGTTCATTGTCGAAAACCACCTCGCCGGCAGGAACCTGCCCCCCATCACCATGGATGTTGCGGATGCATTCGGACAGCTCATCACAGCAGGAATTGCTGACTCTGGTGGGTTGACGACAAGACACCAACAGTGTAGCCTTCATGTTGAGCCTGTAGTTGGCCTTCTGGTAGGTTTTCGACCTTTCGGCATGTATTGTGCTCAGTCTTCTTGCGCATTTCAACATTTTGCTGTATGTCTTTTTGGCCTTCCTGCGCTTTTCGCCTTTTAGCATGTAGTGCTCTGTAGGATTGCTCTAGTCGTTTTCGCACATTTCGGTGCTTGGGTCTGGCATTGGCAGTGCGGCAACAGCTGGGCAGCACTCACAGCGAACAGACCACGGTGCCAAGCGGACCATTGGGCCGATCGCCACTGCGCTTCATCGCACGAAAAAACCCATGGATCACCATGCGCCAGCGCCCACCGTCGTACACACCAGGTGTATATCGCTAATTTGCAACTAAGCGTATCGCACCGTATATCGCTAACTTCCGACTGTCTCCATCCCGCCCAGAAACCAGGGTCACCGCGTCCGTCCCCTGCTTCATCGACTTCGACTGCGTCTCCGGGCAGCGCATCGCCGCGGCAGTCCGGGGCGTCGTGCGGTTCGACGCCATCGTCGTCAACGGCCCCAACGCCACCTACACCCTGCAGCTGTCGGCGGACAGCGTCAACCGGATCGTGGAGCGCCCGCTGTCCATACGCCCCTGCCGCCCTGGGGAGGTGTCTCTCAACGTCAGCGTGGTGGACTACAGCTCGGGAAGGCAGGTCACAGGTCTTGCCTGCGAGAACTGCAGCGCGGGCCAATTCAGCGTGTTTCCGTCCAGCCCGTGCAGGCCTTGTGACATCAATGCGGCCTGCCCGGGCGGCGCGGCTTCCTTCCCGAAGGACGGGTACTGGCACTCGGGCCCCTTCTCGGTGCAGTTCCACGAGTGCATCATCAGGGAGGCGTGCGCGTACGAGGGCGGCCAGGAGGGCGGGAGGGAGGAGCGCCTGGGGGGGTTCTTCACGAGTTTGACAGAGGAAGACGTCGTCGGCGGGCCGGTGTCCAACGACGCCTATCCGCAGTGCGCTAAGGTCAGGTGCACGGGCGATGTCCGCGCATTGTGTGTGAATATGAATGCATCCTTAAATGAAAGAACATTAAGACAAGCGCCTTTTGTTAATTCTCGTGGCGTCAATGGGTTCCTCGCAACGCGCAAACGGGAGTGGGGAGGTCACGCCAAATCTCCCATGCTCTCGCCCGTCGTGGCAGGAGCAAGCAATCGTTACACCTCCAGCCTCCAATGACAGATATTGTTCTCTTCTTCGAGGGTTCGCGAACCTACCCAAAGATGGCAGCCCTCCGTCTATACTTTACAATTACTAAATGAAATCCCATGTCCCATTCGTATCACCGGACGTAACACTTTCCCAGCGTGCCCTTCCCACCTACAACGAGGTAATTTCACGCGTCACCTCATGTCCAGGATGCGTGCGTGCGTGCGTGCGTGCATGTGGCGCGATTGTAATTGGCACCACCGCAGCTGTGCCATTTCGGCATTTTGAGCGATTTAGTAAGAAACGAGCCTGGAAGTTAATGATTCTAAATGGCCAATTTTTGGTATGTTCGTGGTTGGTGGCTGCTTTGCCGTCTGTGTAGGTGGTGTGTAATGGTAACTCAAGAACCACTGTACTCAGTCCACGCAGGTGGTAGGGGGTGGCACAAGGTCGATTTTGGCCTGATCAACATCAAACCGACGCTGATTTTCCCCTTCACTCAAGTTAGCTGGACGGTAAGCGTACTAAATTAGACATGTTGTCACCCCTGAGCTTGCCGCTCGGTGCCTTGAGGCCTGTTTTTGGCAGCAAGGCTGTTGCCTGCCATTTCTCTAATCCACAATCCAATTTTGTATTAGGAACCAAAGTTTCCCTCTGTGAGCAAGCGAGAACGTTTGCAAGGCGTGTGTGTACAGAGGACCAGCAGGAGTTGAAGGGCGGGGGGGACCTTGGCGAATATGAGTGGCGCCCACAAAGTATATCGTGCCTGTTCTTGTGCCGACTGGACTCCAATGCAGTTTCAAGCGAAATGAACCCACGGGCGCACTTGCTGAGTCAATGCATTGCTGCGACGACAATATTTGCTCACGTAATGCAACCCCACCGCTTTGCTGGGGCTTGAGATGGGGGATGCAATGAAAAGCAGTGCATTCCGCAGGTGCCACCAGTGCATATGCCTTACCATTTGCATGTCTCTTATGTATCTGTTATTCAAAGGGACAAAGCGTAAGAACTTTGGTCATTGACTTATTCTGCTTTCCCCTCAGGGTTACAGAGGTGTCCTGTGCGGCTCCTGCGATAGCGGATTCGGGCACTTCGCCAACGGGGAGTGCCGAAAGTGCAATGGCGGAGGCAAGACAGTCGGCCTTCTGGTTTTTGTGCTCTTCTGGAGTCTGCTTTTTGTTGCTTGGGAACTTTTCTGGGCTAAATGGGAGCCTTCTGACATTGCTGACAAGGAGGAGTCGGAAAGTGCAGCGAATGGACTGCGCACACCACTGGGAGGTGCTTCAGGGTCGTCCTTGCGCTCAGAAACCCCAGAAGTAGAGCTGGTAGCCGTGTCCAACGTAGTGCAGATGGCTGCTCCAGCGCCGCCCCCGCTGCCGCCCGTTGCCGATGGACCAACACAAGGAGATGCGCACAGACTCAGGGAGTGCGCTGAGAATGTTGTGGAGACACTGAAGGTGGGGCTTGTCCTACGGTATTGGAATTGGGAATTGGAAGCGGGGACAGTGACGTCACAGTGCACAGGGTGTTCATCATTTGTGGCTGATCGAATCAATGGTAGACACGTAATTTTGAGTCAACCGTGGTCCTCCGTTGCTATCTGAACAAGAGGCTTGATTTGCAAGAGTCTTTGCACTGTTGTCGCATGAATGTGGGATTCTATCGCCGCATTGTGTTCTTGCGTCATGCGGTTGTGTGTTTCCATGGTGATGTCAGCATACGCACATTGATGCACAGCTGCCGTTCGGGAGCGCAATGGCGGGATGTTGTGCACGTGCATGCTATTCGAAATGTCGCAGTGGCAGTTGTGCAAGACGAGTTTGGCCAAACTTCAGCAATAAAATTCGTTCCAAACTTCGTTTGTGGCCAGTATGGCCAACTTATTCCGGTTTGGACAAACTTCAGTAATGGCCAAGTGTGCTCCACGCCTACCACCGCAACATTTAAATAGCGGAACAGGGCAGATGCGTGTCCATCCCCGAGGCAGCCGTTCGGTTTGACGTGCGCACATTTTCCTCCGCGCCCATTGCTCGTTTTATCGCATGGCGTTCAGATGCACTTTTGTTGCCGGTGGGAGCGTCTTTGACACAATTCTTTGGCTACGCAGATCGCCTTCAACTTCTTGCAGGTGACCAGCAGTGGTGTCGTGATTCGTGTGCGCTGGAACTCGGCGGTGGAGCAACTGCTGAGAGCTTGGGGTGAGACCCGGTCCCCGCACAGCACCAGGCGCACCTTGACGTCCGCTGCGCATTGATATGACCGCGGCTGAAGGCACACCACCGTGTTGATGACTTCAAATTGGGGTCCATCAAGCCTTCCACTTGCATCGAAATTGACATGTCAATGGCGCACGATTTCACTGTGCATGACATCTCATGAAGATTTCTCACCTTGGCGGGTGTCAATCAATCAATCGAGCTTCCTTAAATTTGACGCTCCAACAACTAAGGTCACGGCGCCGTTGGCGGGTGTGAAATGGGCGCTGCTGCTTCTGGCTTTTGGACAGAAGTTGCGTCTGTTGATGTCCCCCAATGCACAAAAGGCCCCTGCTTTTGACACGTGTTCTTGATGAAGAACGCCGACGTCAACGCAACAGACGCTCATATTGTCCGAAATCTCGACTATCGGTTGACGTCGCATTAGCGACAAATTTTGACACAGGCTCGAGCGCGACCAGCGTGTTCGTCAGTACCCACTCCTCGAACGCGCACACACATATTACGTACGGATTGGCAGGCGAGATGTGCAGAGCATGTGCAGCAAATTGAGGCATGTGCGTAATGGCATTGGTCTCGGACCAATGAATCAGGGAGAGTCTCCTTCATACAGTTTGCCGACGACTTCTGTGCTGTGCCTGAAGACGTCGTGGTAGCCTTCTCCAACGCAGTAGTGATAAAATGGGCTGCATCTTCGGGTCGACGTCGGGGAGACCGAAGATGTGCAGGGCAGATTTTCGGTGGCGACAGACAGGTACTCAATTTTACTGGTTCCCGACAGATAGTTGCTCAATTAGGCGCTCTTCCAACATGTCAGTATATCTCTTCACGCGTTCCTCACATATCCCACGATGTATATAGTTCGCATACTGTAGGAAAATTTGCATCCCGAATCCGTTGAAGTCTGTGACAGTGAAAGTAAGCGTCCCGGTTGCTATCTGAAGACAATTTTCCCAGGATTGCCTGTTTGGTGGCCCGGCTGTGTTTGTCACGTTCGGGCTGGCGGTTTCTGATGCCCGCTGCCTGGCCTATGACAGGTACTGGGCGGAGGACACCGAGCTGAAGTGTTTTGAAAAGAGCCGCTGGTGGTTGGTCGGACTCTTGGGCGTACCAGGACTCCTGCTCTTCACTGCGGCGGTCCCCCTGGGACTGGTCGCGTTCCTGACGATGCGCTGGAGAAGGAACAAGGGGGAATTCGCACCCGACATTAGGAAGGAGTACGGGTTCTTCTTCCAGAACTACAAATTGGTCGACACTCCATCAGGGCCGAGTACGGGCCCTTCTTCCAGATGTGCACAGTGTGCGACTGTCGTCGGATCATCAGCAGACGAAGGCGCCAGCGAGGCGAGGGCAGACGCCAAGCAGCAGAGCAAAGGGTCACCCGCCTCGGTGTGGAGGGCGTACTGGGAGTTGGTCATCACGCTAAGGAAGGTGGCCATCGCGCTGGTGGTGGTGTTCGCCTACCGCCTGGGCGGCAGCCTGCAGGCGGCGGTGGCCCTGCTGGTCGTCTTTGCGGCCCTCGTGCTGCACCTCGCGGCCCAGCCCTACCGACAGGCACAACTGGCCGTCAATCGTTCAGTCTGGGAGTGTTTGGTGCGGGGCCACCATTTGCGGAGGCCGGTGCGGGCCTGTCGCGTTTTCAAGAATGTCGTGTGGGTTCTTTGGGGACGCCAGCGGCCTTGTTGGGTCGTGAAAATTCATGGACGGAAAGGCCAACAGGGGGAGGCGCCAGAGGCCGGGGCGGGGGGGCGACTGGCGGCTTTCCGTCGCTCCTGTGCGTCGGCGATGAATTGCTCGTCGTTTCCGGCGGATCAGCGGCAGGTTGGGAGAAATTCGTTGGAGCTGGGACGGCGCGTCACGCGCTGGGTTTGCGCAGTAGTCACAGGAGGGTTTCAAGCGTGCAGCGAGTGCATAATTCAAGTTCGACTGCAACTTGCAGGATTTAATGGTTTGAAAGTTGATTCTGATTTGCGAATACCAGTTGAACCTCAATTTGTATATGTACCTTTTTGGATCTTTCCACATGGCGAGAATGTGGCGTCGCTTCTCAGCAAAGGAGGCTGCAATCTTCCGCCTTCTAAATAATCGGCTTTGATGGGCTGGTTTGATGCGGTCCTGTGGCCCAGTGGTGGTTGAACTACTGAGCAACTCAGTTGCCAAAGAAGTCCCATATCATGGAATGTAAAAGAACATGGGCGTTCCCATATCCTGGATATACATAGCCAGGATATTTCATACGCTGCACATGGGCTTCCCATATCCAGGATGTGAGGCATCCATATCCTGGACATGCGCAAGGATGTGACCGTATCCCGGGACATTGGCTCCTACATCCTGCAGAATTTTCGGTCTTGGAACGGGCATACGACGTCCCGCACATTCCCCTACACCCCAAATCCGCGCCCTCGGGAGGAGCGGAATCGCACACGTGGCGTCCTGCGCCCCTTTCTACCACTGCACTACGGCCATATCCTAAATATGGCCGTATTCTGAATATGCATATCCAGGATGCTCAGATTCTTTCCGACTTCGCATGGCAGCAGACTCCAGCCTGCGCGCCGTTTGCCCAGCGTTGTGGGAGTTGCAGGAACGCAAAGTCTGGAATGTTGACAGGGTTTGTTGCTGGCGTAGGTTGTCGATTCCCGATTGTTTTCCCCTCTCGGTCCTGGGGCTGGAATATGTGAAGCGGCACGTCGTTCACCCTCATCCCAACTTTGCGCTTCCACTGCGTTCTTGCCATGCTGCACCAGTTGCGATAGTTGTGGCTGGACAACTCTGCTGGCGCTCTATCGAAACAGTGTCACGCTTCCTTGTGCTGAGATCTCTTTCATTATCACTAGCGGAAAAGGCCATTTCTTGGACGCCAATTGATATTAAATGAAGCTTGCTGGGGCGCCACTGAGACACTTCTTCAAGCACTGGCATCCAAGGAAGAGCTGCGGTGGCGTCCCAGTAGGCGTCATTTATACAAATTGGCAATATATGGTCAGCTGGCGTTCCAGAATTGGCCATTTTCACTAGTGTATGCTGCGCGCGAAGTGGACACAAAAGCCTTCCGAGCACAAGGCATGGAGTGCTTTCGCTCGGCATGGAAATTTCGATGACTCATGGGCAGGGAGATATGGGCGGCAGTTGATCACGGATCGCGAGGGGACAGGATACCAAGCGCGGGCGGGAAAGCACCGCCAGATCCAACGCTTGGTGTCGAACATCTGTTACACTACAAGAAACACGCCATATTGGCGATGCCAACTGCGACGCCATTTTGCCACAAAATGGCGCCATCACAGTGATTGCGATTGCAGAAAATTAGGTGCAATGGCATCAATTGGTATCAAATGGCATCGCAGTTTGCATCGCAAAAATGTCGATCTCTCTTGGTGTTAATGGGGTTGGAGGCGCTCGCGAGGTCAAGTGCAGCAAAGAAATGCCCATCCTACAACCATCAAATTTGAAGGCCTTTAAATTTGTCGGCTCCTGCGCAAACCGGGCGCTACATAAATGCAGTTTGACTGGCTTGAAGGCAAAACAGCCAAATAGACAGGAATTGCCGCCAATATCCGTTTTGGTGCTTCGTCTTGTTGAAGCACTACCTGAAAAATGCCCCTTTGTTAAGTGCGCCCAAGACGCAAACAGCAGTGGGGGAGTCTTTGCCGTGTGGCAAGACACGTTCTCTGGCTATTCCTCTTGGGCACCGCGGAACGCCAACTTCTCCCAGTATCCACTGCCGCAAGTGCCTTCTTCTCAGGGCAGCGTAAGGTGCTTACGGCCTGTGACTTATGAGCATGCGGCCACGCCATGAGCAGTCCAGAAGTCCTCACGGCGGCGCATGGGCAGTTTCAGCTACATCAGGTATGGCTTTTAGATATTTTTGAGCATTGTTCAGTCCTTCAGTGGAAGCGCGGACTTCTATGACCCATCCACGCTTGGAGATAACCAGGGGGTCATTTACTGCCAGCTCCGCGTTTCCTAGAATGCCGTTGCGTTTTCAGTATTGCTCGAGACTGAAAGGTTCAGCGTTACCTTGCGGTTTGGAGTGTGCAAGTTCCTAGGCCAAATAGGTACCCGGCGTTTGCGACCTTGCCTTGACATGTAATACCTCTTGAATTGATTAAAAGTTAGGATGCACTGACCATCGACACCAACAACGGAATTTTTAATGTTCCTCCGTGTATGTCAGTGAACATCTCGTACTGACGTCCTTCCTGGGAGTGGCGGGTCAAAAGCGCACAAAGGAAAGTCAACCGTGGGTGGACTAGTGCTTCCCTTGCGGCAAGTGGTGCCCGGACACTCCTGAACGACCAAATCTGGGGGCAAAGGAATCCAGGATGGCTGCGAAAAAGCGAGTGCCTTACCCTCCCGGTAGCCAGTACATAGAGTCACGATAGGCGGCGAGGTGGTTGGGCAATGGCGGCAATGTGTGACAGTAGATAAGCTGCGGCTACCTGATAAAGGAAGTATTATAGGAGTTTGGAATTTTGAGCTCGGAGCTTGAAGCTTCCTTTGGTTCATATGCCATTGTTTTACATATTTGCATACGTCTTTTAATATTCGCGCAGAGGACGGCCAGTTGCATTTACCCCAATGCAAGATTTCATCGCACACAGTACGCATCAAAATGCCTTACTCTTTGAAATGCGATACAAATCTTAAATACACGACTATCAGGATCAGAAAAAGGTCGTATATTGTTTCAATTCATCAATTTTGCAGTCTGCATTGCCAATCTACAGAGAATCTCGGGCAAAAAAATTGAACAAGGGGCGGCGCCTTCAAAACTTCACAATGATGCTAAATATGAATTCTTTCGAAAGATTTTCACTGCCTGAAACGTATTGATGCGGTCTAGGGTGTTGAACATTTACAAGAACTAGAAGTCATAGTGCATGCTTCAACATTGTGTTCAGAACTTAACAATAGCATATTTCAAAATCCTTGGACGGTGTTTGAGATCCTACTGGTATTTTCTTTCTCACAAAGACAGCCGCCGAAGCCGAAAGAACGCCTGCGCACGTACCAGGCTAGCCTGGTACAGCAGATGCTGAACGAAGCTAAAGCCAAGAAGAGCATCACGACAGAAATAGACTCCGGGTCTCCTCAAGCCAGCAAGGTGACACGAACATCCGATACCTTTCGTTTCCAGGGATTGATATCATGGTAGTCGTTTTCGGTTCGGAATTTAAGGCTGTAAAGGCCTTGCAATCTTTTTATTGAGTTTCGCGCCCCTTTCATGATCTTCGCATCTAAAAATGATAGGTATCGGATACACCTCCAAAGTGGCCGCACGCGCTTACCCATGATCACGAATCCTTGGCATTAGTAAGATAAGGAAAAAAACATCTAGTTGAAGAGTGGCACAAGACTTAGCACATTCTGACATAGCCATGTGCCACTATTTTCCCCAAAGGGTAATTTTTGGGGAAGTGACATTATCGATTGAACGCAACGATGACTTGTGCGTCACAACCTGTTACAGGCATTTGTGCCAGGATTGTTATTTGCACTGCAGAAACTGATCGTGTTAACGTTTTTGCGCGTAAAATATTTTTTACGTTCTTATGCGTAAAAAGGCGTAAAAATACGTAAATACAACGTAAACAGCCCCGTGCACATACAGACTGTAAATACCGTATTTACCCGGTGTTAATATCCAACCCCTATTAGTATCGATTCGCACCTTTGGGGGGTCGAAACCACGTTAGCATCCATGATCCGGTGTTAGTAACCACCCCTAAACCTCAACATAAATGAGCAAGGCGCGGGTGGTGGCAAGGGACATCAGCGGCTGGTGTTGGGCCACGTCGCCCTGTTTGGGCCAAACCGCATTCCCTGCGATTCGCGCATCAACGGGGACAGTAGGTCCAGGGTGGTTGCCGTAAAGGGAGAATTTGGAAGGACGCCTGCAAAAGGCTGCGTGGACGACTGGCTGCCGTTGGGACTTCCAGTGCAGGACCGCCTGACTGCGACTGATGCCGCGAGGCCCAATTAAAGATGCGGTTGAGGAATCAAAACGCCCCAAGGCCCTGCGCCAGGAACGGGCAGGCGATGGCGCTGGTGGGGTGACCGCCGTTGCGAGACCCCACCCTGCTAAACCGACTGCAAAACGCAGCGAAAGCAGGGGCCCTTCCCAATTGGCACACCACATTGGCTACCACGCCACAAACCCAATCACAGATGCCGTCAGCCATCCCAGCCGGCGTCAGCCCAGAAAAGCGCCGGGGACCAAGACCATCATCGCGACGCGGCGCCCCGGCATGTCGAGGCCTATGTCGGTCCTTGTTCTTTGCATCGGGGGGTCAAACGCGCCTCGAGTGTTCCGGCGAACCCCTGCTGGTCCCAATCACCAGCCACCCCACCTGGTGCAGCGCGAAGGCCACGGGATCCCCTGAAGAGCCTGACAACTTTCAATAGTGTTGTGTCCGTGATTCTTTTGTGACTTGACTTGCTGACGTTGCTGCCTATGCACTACATCTTGCATTGCTTCAAGCCCAGCTTTGGGCATTTCACGGCCTAGTTTCAATTTTTTTTGTCTGCCCCTTAGAGCAGGGGTCCAATTGCGTTTGCATCCATGACCCGCTATTTGTATCCACCACTCAACTTAGGCGTCCAATAATCGCCTACTAATACAGGGTAAATACGGTACAGACTTATGTGGAGTCCGGGGAGTGGCAGCCAGACGCGCTGGAATGGGCAGAAACGAGCTGTTTGTCGATGATGTCGTTGACCTTGCCAAGGGAGAGGTGGAGGCTATGTTCCACATGCTCGAAGGGGCGGAGGGCGGATCATTGTACACGACAATCATCGTGTGACCATGTCTCCGCCACAGCGTAAATACAGAAGCAAGAATAGTCCCTTTTAGAGATTTATGTCATTGCGTGTAAAAATGTAAACGCAAAAACGTAAACGTAAATAACGGCTTCGATGGTGCTGTTAGTTGCTGTGCACAGAACTGCACTAGTGCGCACACTCAGTACTGAGTGAGGTGTGTTGCACACCACTTTGCAGAGCTAATTGCAGGCTGAAGTGGTTATTTCGTTGACAAATCCATACACACCTGAGGATGTGGTTGCCATGCATACTCGTATCTACGCTTGAACAATATATTATTGTCACATACAAAATGTGATTGTGCGGCTGCACATCTGTATGCGAAGATACATGATTTGCTTTTTGGATGACGATCGTGAATGGAGATTCACGGAAAAGCTATCTCCGCGAGTATTACTTAAAAATATACAACTGCACACACGCACGGTCATGTCGATGACCTACGGATTCATGATCACATGAGAGCAGCATGGATACTACAGTACTGTGCCCTGTGATCTGACTGTGTTGACGCGTGGCAGCAGGAGACAAAAAGCTCATATTTTAGGGTTTTGCTCTGTTTATATTAAGTCTAACAAAACATCATTCTGGATACATATCCAAATCTCCGGTCTACATGAGACAAATACATCTCAAGCATACTGTTTATGGGTGCGAGTCCGAATCTGCCACACGCCGTTGCTTCGAAACGGTCCGAGGCGAGCTTTACCTTGTCATTAGCGACCCAACCTCCTGCAACTTCGTCCTATTCCCGCGTCGCAGGGAGCCGCGCAGCCTCGTAGCCCGTGGCGTCGGTGAAGAAAGTCCTTCCCGCACTGCCGAAGGCCCTGAGGTCCTTAGCTCCTCCAGCCTTTGCATTTGTCGGTGGAGCTCCGCCTCAATTATGCACGTCGATGTTCCTTGTTCTCTGGAGACCTGACCTGCCTGAAAAACGGCTGTTTCTTTATCCCAAAATATTCCCATTGATATAACGGATCGGGGCGAAGGTCGTTTGAACAGGTAGCCGTTCAGTAACCCCTTGCCCAAAATTGACACTTAAACTGGATTAATCCAATACTGGCCCATCTCAATATCCTCAAAATATTGCCGACCTAGCTGTAAAATCCACAGCCTTGTCGATCGCCCTGCTTCCGTACACAACAACAGAAAATATGAAAAAGCAGCCTGCATTCGGGCGCATGGTGTCAAATTATCTCACAAATGCTATACAAAAATGTATTCGAAGCTTTGTTGCGCAGTAAGTTCAGAGACGCTGACGGCGCCCGCGCCGCGAGCATGGCTGTTATGACTCCGTTGCCTCCTTTGTTCCAACTGTAACGATCGGCTGTTTGAGCAGACAGATAAGAACCAGTCGCCTAAGGGCGAGTCGGATGATTTGGTCGGCGAAGGCTCCTCGGATGGGACGGATGTTGTGGTGGACCGAGTTCGAGCGCAAAGGGAAGCCAGGGAGCAAACCAAGAGGAGCCGCGAGGAAGAATTTCGAAAGGCGACGGACAGGAAGAAGCAGGAGCTTTCCAAGAGGAAGGAGGAAGAGTTCCAAAAAATGTACAAGGTGATTGTTTTGATCAGGGAGCATTGTGCCACAACTAAATGAGACGAATGGGATGTTGCATGCAATTTTGCATTATATGACCAGGCACGAGGCGCTGTTCTAGGGGCACGGATGGGCGCTAGTACTGCGCAATGTAAGGCAGTTAGACCCAGCGAATTACGCTGTAGTTTGCATGATTCTTCGAGCTACTGCTGACCAATTTACTGTTTACCGTTCTGAGGCTGCAAAATTGCCACATTATGGATAGATCAAATCCAGGTATTCTTCGTGCATCTAATGATACATGTTATGATGTCTATGCCGACAATCGATGGGGCACGGTTGGGGAATCTCCAGGAGTTGCCTGCGGCACGGCATGCCCTAATAATGCCACTCCGATGGGCCCACCGTCACACTATCACACTTTTATGTGGTCACAACTGCTGGTCAGCCATCCCGGGTAATGTCACCAACGGGTATTTATACCTGGAGCGCAATTGGAGTAATCTAAAGTTTTATTGGAACAGGAGGTGACTTCTCGTGATATGGAAGCTTCCAGTGCACAAAGTCGCTGCCGCAGACCGTAAAACACCTTCGCGCTATTTAGGACGCTCAGCACGAGGCTGCGCAGGCGAGAGCTGTGTTGTCGTGTCTCACGCGCAACGGTCTCTCATTTGGTAATCTACAGCCCGGGACCATCGCTGCCACTGCTTGGGGCCAGGTCGTATTATCGTGCGGACGCAGCTTAGAATGCAACTGCCTTGCTGAATGTGGATACGCAAGCACAGTGAAGCAGGTTTTGAGGCGCACATCTACATGCAATTGCTCCGATGCAGTTGTTGAGCACTCACTGTACAGCGGTCTCGCCTGGTCTTGCGTGATGAATCATTCACGCTTGGCATCGAACTCGAGTGTAGTCGCGGCTTGTTGTCCTTTCTTTTTGAGTCTATTGCGAAGTTGAAATTTGAGATCCACAGAATTTTCCAATCGATTCTTTTTCATTAGATATCTAAATGTGACTTGAATAGACTTTTTCATGCTTTCGGAATGGGTGCACAATCTCTGGCATTTCGAGCTACGCTGAAGGTCTGTGCTCGCGATATTTCGGCCCCAAACGGCGGGGCATATTCAGCAGGATGGCGACGACCACACAGAGACAGTGTATGCGGGACAAAAGATGATCAACACCCCAAAGTACGGAAACTCCTTTAAGATTTGCTGAAAGGTGCATTTGAGTGGCGTCAGGAAGTGTACAAGGGGCTGTCTTACGATTCTGGGGTCACGGGGGAGTTGGAAGACCTGCTGAGAGGGGCCGACAAAGTGAGGAGAAGGAAGCGCGCCCAGCTGTACACGGACTGGGAATGTGAGGTGTTCGGCAAGATACAGGGAAGAATACAGAAGGCCTTGGGGCAGAGGAATATAGAAGACATCGAATCACGCCTGAGGAGCCAATACGATGCGTATATAAAGGTCCTAACAGGGACGCGCCGCGAAATTATGCGATGATGCGACGGCATGCGCTATGCAACACTTGACATACACTGTGCTGACGTCTCTTCCCAGGGTTGATGGCAGAAGCAGTCGCCTGATCCGCCGCTGTTTGCCATGTTGTGATCCAGAACATATGATATCAAGAGACGAGGCACGGTGAACTGCCTTGAGTTCTCCATGTATTGTGTCGGTATAAGCTAGACATATCTTGTACATATTTTATTGTTTATACGGTGGTCCCGAGAATCAGCATCAGCCGGTCGCTCGCCGTACCGCAACAAAAACACCATTTTGCGTGCAGCACGACATGATGCGTCTTGTACATTTTGGTAGCGCATTGCACCCAGTACAAAATCCAGAAATCTTCTAAAGAAGCGCTATATCTTTCAAACACATTCACCACACCTAAGAAACCCACACCTAAAACTCTACCTCAACTTGGAAGACCCAATTCACCTTCATTTGGATTCTCTCAGATACACTTTGCACAACTCAGTGAATGGATCACGCCCACAACCCTGCACTTCCTCTCTAAAACTTGCTTCATCTCGCTGGCATCTATTCAACGAAACCACAAAGCACGGTGTTGTGGAATAGCTCCACACAGCGCAGACCATGGGCACAGTGAAGTGTTCTATCGTCCTGCCTCTTCAGACAACCAATGAAAAGCTGGCCGTCTTCAGGGACGTGATAATCGAGACGGACTACGACCCCCTCTCAGTGCACAGGGCCGTCGTCAAGTTCAGAGATGACGACATCGAAGACCCGTGCCTGCAGGCTACCAGCAAAACGCTGCGCGAGCGGCAGGCGGTAAGCACCTGGCAAGAAATCTGCTGACCAGCACCCCCCAAGCGAACTCGCTACATCTAACTGGAGCGGAGGCATTCGTCCCGTCGCTTGGCTCCGCTAGAGCAATGGACGCATTGAGCTACGCTGATCTGCCGTGGAGGCGATTGGCAGTGTTTGAAAATTTTTGACCCCGAACATCGTTCGAGCAACAAGTATCCCCCTCAAGGTGCCGCGCACCAGTTTCCTTTCACTCGGCATGGTCCTCCAGCGTTTTGGGCGATCGCGGAGTTCAAATCAGCGGCCATGTGCCGAGGTACCATGCTGTGGTCGAGGGGAGCTAGTCGCAATTCCATGGCGCTGCAGTGCATCAACTCCAACTCGCCCCCGGCACAGTCGCACCCCCCGACCTGTATGTCGTTCTCCCCCGCGCAGTGCTTTCAATGGCCGGCACTGCACTTGCCGAACAACGCCAAACGGACGTCTCCGCACACGGAAACCTTGTCTTTCGCGTGCAGATGGGCCGCTGCGATTTGCCGGACAACTACGCGGGCAAACTAACCCTGGAGACCACCATGTGGGACAAAGTGGGAGCGACGCCGTTTGGCCACTGCATGGACAAAGAGGGCAACTACATGTGGAAGCCTGCCAGCGAGGTGGATGCCGCCCACCGGTCGTCCCGCGTGTATATGGACCATTACGTGACGCCCACCGGCAGAGAGCCTATGATGGCGGAGTGTCCAAAGGGAAGGCGCCACCTGGAGGCGCCAGGTGGCCGCAAGGCACGCGCCAAGCGAGCAAACCAAGACGAGAATATTTGGTACGGCCAGTGTGGCGCAATAGTTTCAATTGTCATAGGAATAACAAGCCTAAAGCAGACTCTTCATACACGAATATTTGCAAATTTTTGGTGTGGGAGAGAATTCCAAGACTTGCCAATACGAAACGCAACGGCCATTCTATGTGGTCTTTCTGCCCCTCCCGGAGCATGCCAATCTGCTTTACAATCTGGGATATTGTCAATATATATTGTCAATATTGTGCCAATCTGCTTTGCACTGGGATATTGTTCCGGGCGACTGCGGCGGTGCGTCCATCAAGTTTGTGCACCTGTTTTTGGGCGCATGCGCGTGCGCACAGATCAGACACCTGCAATTTGCTGCATCAAAATGTATGCATATCATGCGCCCGGCATCGCACGAGCGGGAAAATTCCGGTTGAGTTTCGGCGCTCCCTTTGCACAAGACAGCAACACCACAAAGCCGCACAATGATGGGGGCGCCGTCATCCATGCCCTCGATATATTACGGCCATTTACTGCAAATTACGGAAACCAGAACAGCACCTCCGCAGCGTCTCGGCATGGATTCAAACGCATCGATTGGCCCCATTATTACAGCAACAAAAAAAACAAATTAAAAAAAAACTTGCTGCCGTCTTGCCGCCATTCACTCCCCTTCCAATATCTCCTCATGTTCTTCCAAATGCCATCCGCACCCATTCACCCCAACCTCCCGCTGCCCCCTCCACAGCGAACAGACCGAGACCATGTACGACGTGCTGCAGCAGACCAGGCAGGATGCCTCCCCAACCC